TGAAATTGTACGTGAACCACCTCAATTAAATGTTTTTGTTTTAAGAGTTTCTCTGGTCATGGTGTCTCCTTACAAAAAAAATCTAAAACAGAAGTTGGTCCCAGGGACTTGAGCATTGCTGTTCTAATCCTAACCATGCTTTTGTTTAGAATAATAAGGTCTTTGATTCTTTGCCTTAAGAAAAGGACAGAATGCAATTAGCCCTGCCTACAGAAAGTATCATACTAGGAGGAGCATGGGAGAGATTGACCTTGATAATGATATGAAATATCAGGATCCAGCTCAAGAGGTTTCAGAGAAGAATTTTACTATGTTCTTTCAAAATTATTATTGTGATATTTTGGTGAATAAAATACCTTGGTTCAAAGAATCTGCCTGAGGCTAAAGTAAGGAGATTTTGATTAATTTCAATGGCAGAAGAAATCTCAACACAGCTTAAGATAGACTCTGCCTAGGTGATATTATTGGTAACTCTACTGAAGATACTCAATAAAAGATCTGCTGAGCAAGGAAACATACTTGAGGAGATAAGGGCCTCTAAAAGTCGAATATATCTAACTCCTCTGTTCAAGGACATCAACGGTTTTAAAAATGGAATAAAGGGATTGGTTGCCTGAGGGAGTAGTGGCACATTGACTTTAATCCTAGCACTCAGAACACAGAGGCATCCATACTTCTGTTACTTCAAGCACAGTTTAGTATACAGATCATGTTTCCAGATGTCCATGCTTATACAGTGAAAGACAGAAAGCTGGTAAAGATATAACTAAACAGGGTATCATGTTCCAACCCCAGTAAGCAGCAAAGCCTGACAGGTTGGGCCACATGGTTCTGGCTTAAGAGTTAAGGATAAAATAAAGGAATTGAATCCTCTTTTTCTGGTTAGCTGGGGCTGAAGAATCAGCTGTGATGAGCAAGTTATCAGACGTATTTAAGTGAAATATTGCACTGCTTGATACTTAATGCTGAATGGCTAGAGCTAAAAATTTAGTGATGATTAAGAGACCAGTATCAGTGATAGAAAATGTCTGGGAAGTGTTTGCTAAGAGCACAGAGAAGCTGTCTTCCAGAGGTAGCCAAGGTGGTACCTCATGCTGGTATGAGTTTGTAATGTGTCGCACCCAGGCGGTATTGGTTTTGAAGGTATTGATGGACGTCAGGCTTTACACTGTAAGAGGCCAGGAAAAGACATCACTGAACGTACAGTGTCATTGGCAGTTGAATACCCAGGACTGTAAGGGTCATGCCAAGAGGTGTGGCACCCTGAGGAGATTCTATGAGAAACTACTGGTGAAAGTGAAACCCAGTTGCAATAGAAGATCCCAGTGTTTTGGAGAGGCCAGCCCTGTGAGATGACCACCAAAACAGCAGTGACAGTGGAACTGAGCCAGCCGGAGTCTAGAAGACCAGGTGTGTGCACTGCAGAGGGCAGAGTCAGTGTATTTACTCAAAGCCTATGGAAGAGTACAGAAGATCTTGAGTGTATCTTAATATTGGAAGGTTGGAATTCTTTTAATTACCCAAGATGTTAACCTGCCAAGGAAATTAACTCATGGAGAATGGAACCAGCCCAAGAAAAAGAAGTGTGCTGTTCTCAACAAAGCTGAACAGGATTGGAGATCTGGAGAGCTGTTGGTCATGGAGTTAGGTATCATTACACTGACTTTCTTTTTTAATTTATTGTTACTTGTATTTGGTTCTACCCTAGCTTTCTAAGCCATCCAACTTTTGGGTCCTGCTCATCTCGGTGCTCTTCCTAGCCACCTGGGGCCTCAAGTTGGATTTTGTGGATGACTTGGTTTCCTAGTCCCACCACTGGGAGCCATATGTGATTACAGAAGATGGCCAGTACAGGTTCCATATTTCTGAGTTATAGGAAGTCCTCACTATAATCACCCTTAAAATTGCAGAAAGTTGTTACTGCTCTGTTTCAACATCAACCCTTGAACGCTTTCCTATTCTACTAATTTCTTGCTGTGTTTCCCCCTTCATATATCTCTGCCTTCTGAATCATTGCACTGCTGGTGGCTGACTTTCTACCTGCCACTATTTTTTTGTTTTGAATGTTTTTAATGAATATGAGTTTATATCTATATACAAAGGCATTACTACATGTGTGCCTGTTACTCATGGTAGTCTCAAGAGGCCTCAGAACCTATGAAGTTGAAGTAATGGATAATTACAACTCCATTTACTCCCATTATCCTTCCTGTTCTTGCTTTGGATAAAACTACAAAATCTACTCATTTAATCTTCCTGTTTGGGATCCATGCACCCCCTGTTACAGTCATCTTTCTCACTTACCCTATCTGGGTCTGTGGATTGTACTGTGATTAGTCTTTACTCAACAGATAATATCCACTTACAATGAGTACACATCTTGTTTGTCCATGTAGTTTGGGTTTACTTGTTCAGAAGCAAAAGACCTCAAGAAGCAACACATCAAGAAATAAATTAATTGAATAAAAATATGGTAGAGATTTAAACAAGGAGTTCTAAATAGATGAATCTAAACTGTCTTAGAAACACTTAACTCAATGTTCAATATACTTAGCCATCAATCAAATGTATATCAAAAAGGCTTTTAGAATTCACCTTATACCTGTCAGAATAGCTATGTTAAATAACACAAGGCACAACTCATGCTGGCAAGGATGTTGAGTATGTAGAACATTCCTCCATTGCTGTTGGGAATGCAAACCTGTATAGTCACTATGGGAACCAATATGGCAGTTCCTCAGATAATTGAGAATCTATCTACCTTAAGACTCACATAAACCACTCTGGTAGTTTGAATGTAGTTAGACCCAGTAATCTCCTAGGGCATGGCACTATTAGGTGTGGTTTTCATTGGGCTGGGTTATGTCCAATCAGGTCAATACCATGATTGTTATAAGAGACTTCACATTGAAACATTTTAGGAACTGTTCCAGCCTATGACCATCATGGAAGTTAGACTAAATACTTTTTTTTTTTATCATGGAATGACTATGAATATGTATGGATCAAAATCAGAATGTAGTTGATCGAAGGAAAAGTTCCAAGTTTAGAAGAAGTGGTTGAACACTTGTTCTCTGGGGTGCTCTTCTTTGTTATATTTGTGGAACATTTAGTAGGAGGAAGCTTTTGGATAAAACTCTTATACTAGGGATTGGATTTACATGTTTATAGTCTCAACCCATTTCTGGTTATGTGTGTCCTGCTGTCGTGACTTTACCACCATTATAGACGGTATTGCTAAATGACATAGCATGTAGTTGAAGCAATTGCTATTCACTCTTCAGCCTTTTGCTATCCTGATTTCTATTTTAATTTTTTTGTTTTTACTTTTGTTTTCAAAAGACGAGATTTTTCTATGTAGTTCTGGGTCCTGAATTTAGCTTCTTAGACCATGCTGTCCTCAACTCAGAAATACAAATAATCCTGGCTTCTGCACAGAGGGATTAACTGCAAAGCAACATACTTTGTTTTGTGTGTGTATGTGTGTGTGTTTATGCATTCTTTTATTGTCTGATGAACCTGGAATGTAGGGTTTTTGTACATTTCAAGGATAAGTTTCTATGCTGAACTTCACCTACATCTTGAAATTTGAAGCTTGGTGGGGGATCTCATTCTTTTTCCCAGGAGAATAGTATCCATGACATTAATACCTCTGTATTCTGAATCATTGCACTGCTAGTAGCTGACTTTCTACCTGCTTCTAATATTTTTTTGTTTTGAATGCTTTCAATGAATATGAGGTTGTATCTATATACAAAGGTATGTACCACATGTGTGCATGTTCCTCATGGTAGTTACAAGAGTCCTCAGAACCTATGAAGTTGAATAATGGATAATTACAAGTCCCTTTTAGTACTGGAAATTTTGCTCTCTTATCTACAAAGACAGCAAGACTGCTTAATTGCTGATCCATCTCCCTTACTCTATGTTATTTATGATCATCATTTGCTGGGCTGATGTTTTCTTTTGTCCATATGTAACTGTTAAACATGCACTCCCTTTTATTAAGATCTTATTATGAAACAGTTTAAACTGGGCTACTGGGCGTTCTGGAAGATGAATGTAGAACTAAAGTGAATACAAAACTTTTTGTAAGATGTAGTAGGAGGGCGTAGATCTACTTTTCATAACAGCCACCAGGCTCCCAGCCACCTGGCTAGTTTTACCCCCAAAATAATGACACAAAAATTATATTAATTAAATTACTGCTTGGCCCATTAGCTCTAGTCTCTTTTTGACTAACTCTCACATCTGATTAACCCATTTCTATTAAATCTGCTTATCACCACGAGACTGTGGCTTACCAGCAAGATTCTAACCTACATCTGTCTCAGGCCTGATTTTCATGGCATCTGCCACTCTGCTCTTCTTCCCAGAATTCTGTTCTGTATGCTCCACCAACCTAAGAGCTGCCCTATCAAAAGGCCAAGGCAGGGTTCTTTAATAACCAATGAAAGCAACACAAATACAGAAAGACATCCTACACCAGTAAGGACTTCAGTAAAACTTTCGATTTCTTTTTACATTTTTATTTGAATAGTTTTTGGGTGAATACTGGGTTTTATTAATTTGTAACTCTGGCTTACCTGTAACTCATGGCATAGGCTTTGGCTGATATCCAACTCAATTTAATTCATCTGCTTTTATATTGATTGCTGGAGTTAAAGGCAAGAGTCAGTATACCCAATTTTCCCATCACTTTTCTAGATAATCATTGTTCTTACTATTTCTGTAGTGTTTTCTCAGTAGTGTTGATCTACTTACTTGTCTGTCTCTGTGTGTCTGTAAATTGGTATTTCTTTCTCATGTATATATCATATTTAAAGGGCCAATAAATGGCACATATGAACCTCCTCTTTAGTTTCCTTCTAAAGTGACTAGTGATTATATTATAATGTAATGTCATGGAAGAAATGTGGAAAGCATTAGCATTATACAAATATATCATTTAAAAAGAAGTATCCAATGTCAAGATCACACTTTGTTTTATTGTTGGATAGATTATTCTAGAATTCAGTGACCTATGAGGATGTGCACATTGACATCACTCAGGATGAGTGGGCTTTGTTAAATCCTTCCCAAAAGAGTCTCTACAAAGATGTGATGGTGGAGACATACAGAAACTTCACTGCTATTGGTAAGATTGTGAACTTTCCTTCTAATCTTAGAGTAAGGGGACGAGTGTGTATTATTATTGATACTTTTGTATATTTGTGTTTGAGAAAGAGTAAGAATGAGCCAAATAACTAAGACATATTTCACTTAAGATATTCAATTTTGTCCAATATCCTTTAATATATTATCTACTTTCTTTTCCTATATAGTAGGCTACAGTTAGGAAGATCATAATTTTGAAGAACATTCTCAAAGTGCTAGAAAACATGGAAGGAAGTTTTATTTGCAACTTGGTATATATTTATCTCTTAAAAAATTTTAATTTGTTCCGGAAGTTTCAAAGAAAAACAATATTATAAATAAACACAGCTTAAAGTATATTAATGATTATTAATTTCTCATAAAATCATATGCCTCTGTATGAGGTCTATGTACCCAAGGCATTTCTCTAGAAACAGAAGAGAAGGAAAGGATTCTTTAACTGATACCACCATTTGGATCAAAGCCCCATGACAACCATGCTGTAGACCTGCCAATCTATTTAGTTTCATAACATTCAGATATTGCACAAGGAACACACATATACACATTGAATAGATAATAAGTATACACTTAAAACTGTCCAAAAAATGAAAACTCTGTAGTAAAGCCAGTGATACTCATGTACTTGTGACTTTGCCAAACTTGCTGAAAGAGTTTATGAGAGTCAAAAGAGCTCTTGAGGAGAAACCTTAATTTCTATACCACATTTCTATGAGGAACAGACAGCCAAACTGTGAATTCAATGGACAATTCTTCTTCCTTCAATAAGAATGTCATATGTCACAAGTGAGCTTACCAAAATGAAAAGAGGAACTGTATCTCTTTCAGAATAATGAGAAGATATGAAAGATATTTAGTATTTCAACACTGGGTAGATTTGCTGAATGTGCTACAAGATTATATTTAATGGGTTTTCAAACTTCCTTGGGAAGACATCAGCAAACTCACACTGAAGATAAGCTCTATGAGTGTTGGACTGTGTACTTACTTTTGTTTGTCCTAGTAGACTTTCTTGTGGTAGGTATTACACCACAGAAAAACATAAGAATGAAAAAGAATGTAAGGTTATTTAAAACCTAGTTAATCTAGTTCCTTTCAAATATGTTAAAAAACTTATAGAAAATGATGCTATAAATGTGGGATATTTATTAAAAGACCTTTACCATCAAAGGTACTTCAAAGTCACAAAGCATTCCATACTGAAAGATAGCACCATGAATGTAAAACTTAAAATCTGATTCCTCTTTACAATTAAACAAATTTATAAAATTAATTCATACAGATATTAAGATTCATCAGTATAATATACATGGTAAAATTTTATATGTGCCAATTATTTTTGCAGGTATGAAAGAAACCATAATGGAGAGAAACCCTCTGAATATACTCAATGTGTTAAAGCCTTTGCATGTTATAGTCATCTTCAAAGGCATAAAAAAATTCATTCTGCTGAGAAGCCACATGATGGTCTTCAATATGATGAAGCTTTGAAGGTACCAGTTGTCACCAAATACTTAAAGAACACAAGCTGGAGAGAAACCCTGTGAATTTAATCAATGTGGTAAAGACTTTTCATATGTCAGAAGTCTCCAAGTTCACAAAAGAGGAGACACTGAAAAGAAAACCTATGAATGTAATCAATGTGATAAAGCTTTTTCAAAATGATCTCAACTCCAAATACATCAAAGAACACATACTAAAGAGAAACCCTATAAATTTACTTAATGTGGTAAAAACCTTTGCACTTAAATATAATCTCCAAATATATAAAAGAACACATACTGGAGAAAAACCCTCCACATGTAATCAGTGTGGTAAAGCCTTTTCCCATCTTAGTAGTCTAAAAACACATAAAAAATTCATACAGGAGAGAAACCCTATGCATGTGATCAATGTGATAAAGCCTTTTCATGTGTCAGTAACTTAAAACCACAAAAATACATACTGGAGACAAACCCTATGAATGTAATAAATGTGGTAAAGATTTTTCATATGTCAAAAGAATCAAAGTTCACAAAAGAGCACATACTGGAGAGAAAACCTATGAATGTACTCAATGTGATAAAGTCTTTTCCCAACTTAGTAATCTAAAAACACATAAAAGAACACATACTGGAGAGAAACCCTATGAATGTAATCAATATGGTAAAGCCTTTTCACTGAAGAGTAATCTTCGAGTACATCAAAGGACTCATATTGGAGAGAAACCTTATCAATGTAATCAATTTGATAAAGCTTTTGCGAGTCATAGTGAACTTCACAGACATAAAAGAACACATACTGGAGAGAAACACTATGAATGTGATCAATGTGGTAAAGCCTTTTCGTATATCAATACTCTCCAACTTCACAAAAGAACACACATGGGAGAGAAACCCTACACATGTAATCAGTGTGGTAAAACCTTTTCACAACTGGATAATCTAAAAACACATAAAAGAATACATACTGGAGAGAAACCCTATGAATTCAGTCAATGTGGTAAAGCCTTTTTACATGTCAGTAATCTCCAAACACATAAAGGAACCTATACATCTTCAACGGTATGGAAAAAGGCATTCTGCAGAGAAGCTATATTATGATATTCATTATGATGTAGCCTTTGCAGGTATCAGTTGACTCCAAATACATAAGAGAACACAAATTGGAGAGAAACCCTGTGAATATAATCAATGTAGTAAAGAATTTCTATAAGTCAGAAGTCTCCAAGTTCACAAAAGACCACATACTGGAGAGAAAACCTATGAATGTAATCAATGTGATATAGCTTTTTCAAAATGCTCTAAACTCAAAATACACAAAAGAACACATACTCAAAAGAAATTCTATGAATGTAGTGAATTTGACATAAAGTCTTTACATGTCAATGTAGTCTCCAAATACATAAAAAAAAAACACATACTGGAGAGAAACCCAACACATGTAATCAATGTGGTAAAGCCTTTTCACAGAACAGTAGTGTTTGAGTACATCAAAAAACACATACTGGAGAGAAACCTTATCAATGTTGTCAATGTTATAAAGCTTTTGTGAGTCATGGTGAGCTTCACAGAAATAAAGGTACACATACTGGAAAGAAGCGCTTTGTAATTGATATGATAAAGCTTTTTCACAGCACTCTAAACCCTCACTTCACAAAAGAACACATACTGGAGAGAAACCCTATGAACGTAATTAATGTGGTAAAGCCTTATCATATCAATGTAGTCTCCAAACACATAAAGGAACACATACTGGAGAGGAACCTTATAAATTTAATCAATGTAGTAGAGTCTTTGCATGTCATAGAAGTATACATATCCATCACAGCACATGCTGAATAGAAACCCTACAATTTTAGCCAATGTGGTAGTACCTTTGTAAATGTCTTCAGACTTTAAAACCTTGAGGAAAAAAAGTCATACTGCAAAGAAACTTTTTTTTCTTTTTTTATTTTTTCGAGACAAGGTTTCTCTGTATCATTGGAGTCTGTTCTGGAACTCACTCAAAAATTTGTCTGGCTTTTAACTCACAGAGATTTGTCTGTCTCACAAGTGCAAGATTAGAGGGGTGTGCAACCACAGTTCAGCCTGTCAAACCCTTTAGGTGCAATCAGTGTGGTAAAGTTTTCCTCTTCTTGGTAGTCTTTGTACAAGAGTAAAATTTAAGTGGAAAAGAAGTCTATTTAGGTCTTTGCATATAACAGTACTCTGAGGACCTCAGAAGATTTATTCTAAGGGGAATGAGAATATAAATGTTTTGGAAATATCTTCAGGCAACACACATTTTTCTTTTCTTTTTTTAACTTTAATTTTATTTTTTTTATTAAAACTTTCCACCTCCTCCCACTTCCCTCCCCTCACCTCTCCCTCTTTTTCTCCAGGCCAAAGAGCAGTCAGGTTTCCCTACCCTATGGGAAGTCCAAGGCCCTCCCTGCTCCCCCCCCCCAGGTCCAGGGAGGTGAGCATCCAAACAGACAAGGCTCCCACAAAGCCCATCCATGCAGTAGAATCAAAGCCCAATGCCATTGTCCTTGGCTTCTCAGTCAGCCTCCACCATCAGCCATATTCAGACTCTGGTTAGGTCTGTCCCACCTTCTCAGTGGGTGAACACACCCCTCTCAGTCCTGACTTCCTTGCTCATGTTCTCCCTCCTTCTGCTCCTCATTAGGACCTTGGGAGCTCAGCCCAGTGCTCCAGTGTAGGTTTCTGTCTCTATCTCCATCCATCTCCAGTTGAAGAGTCTATGGTAATATGCAAGATATGCATCAGTGTGGCTATAGGACAAGACCAGTTCAGACACCCTTTCCTCTGCTGCTCAAGAAATAAGCTGAGAACATCTCCTTGGACACCTAGGAACCCCTGTAGAGTCAAGTCTCTTGCTAACCCTAAAATGGTTTCTTTCCTTCAGTTTATTTATATGATGGATTACATTAGTAGATTTTCATATGTTGAACCAGTCCTGCCTCTCTGGGATGAAGCCTACTTGATCATAATATATAATTTTTTGGATGTGTGCTTGGATTTGGTTTGCCAGTATTTTATTGAGAATTTTTGCATCGATGTTCATGAGTGAGATTGATCTGTAATTCTCTTTCTTGGTTAAGTCTTTGTGTGGTTTTGGTATCAGCATGACTGTAGCTTTAGAAAAGGAGTTTGGCAATGATTCTTCTGTTTCTATTTTGTGAAACACTTTAAGGAGCATAGGCATTAGCTCCTCTTGGAAGTTCTGGTAGAATTCTGCATTGAAACCATCTGGTCCAGGGCTTTTTTGGTAGGGTGGTCTCTGATGACAGCTTCTAACTCCTCTCGACTTACAGGTCTATCTAAATTGTTTACCTTGTCTTGATTTAATTTTGGTATATGGTACTTATCTAAAAAATTGTCCATTTCTTTCTCATTTTCCAATTTTGTGGCATACAGGCTTTTGTAGTAAGATCTAATGATTCTCTGAATTTCCTCTTTATCTGTGGTTATGTTTCCCTTTTCATTTCTGATCTTGTTAATTTGCATATTTTCTCTCTACCGTGCGATTAGTTTGCATAGGGGTTTGTCAATCTTCTTCATTTTCTCCAGGAACCAGCTTTTTGTTTCATTGATTCTTTGGATTGTTTTCTGTGTTTTTATTTTGTTGATTTCAGCTCTCAGTTTGATTATTTCCAGTCTTCTACTCCTCCTGGGTGAAACTGTTTTTTTTTTTCTAGAGATTTCAGGTGTGCTGTTAAGTCTCTTATGTGTGCTTTCTGTTTTCTTTATGTGGACACTTAGTGCTTTGAACTTTCCTCTTAACACGGCTTTTATAGTGTCCCATAGGTTTGGGTATGATGTGTCTTTGTTTTCATTGAATTCAAGGAAAACTAATTTCTTTCTTTATTTCTTCCTTGACCCAGGGGTGGTTCAATAGTTGACTGTTCAGCTTCCATGAGTTTGTAGGCTTTCTGGGGTTAGAATTGTTCTTGAATTCTAGCTTTATTGCATGGTGATCCAATAGTATACTGGTGGTTACTACAAATTCTTTGTATCTATGATGTTTGCTTTGATACCAATTATATGATCAATTTTTGAAAAGGTTTCATGAGATGCTGAGAAGAAGGTATCTTCTTTTCTCTTTGGATGGAATGGTCTATAGATGTCTGGTAGGTCTATTTGGTTCACTACATAGGATAGTTCTCCTATTTCTCTATTAAGTTTCTATCTGGCTGACCTATCCATTGTTGAGAGTGAAGACTTGAGATCTCCTACTATTAGAGTGTGTGCTTTGATGTATGCTTTGAGTTCTAGTAATGTTTTTCTTTTCTTCTTTTACAAAAGTGGGTTCTTTTGTATTAGGGGCATAGATATTCAGGATAGAGACTTTCTCCTGATGAATTATTCCTGTTATGAGAATAAAGTGTCTGTCTCCATCACTTCTGATTGATTTTAGTTTGAAATCAATTTTGTTAGATATTAGTATAGCCACACCAACTTTATTCTTTGGTCCATTTGATTGGAAAACTTTTTCCCTATTTTTACTCTGAGGTAGTGTCTGTCTTTAAGTTTGAGGTGTGTTTCTTGTAAATAGTAGAATGTTGGATCCTGATTTCATATCCAGTATCTTAACCTGTGCCTTTTTATAGGTGAATGGAGTCCATTGATACTAAGTGATATTAATGACCAGAGGTTGTTAACTCCATTTACTTTTTCTGGTGGTAGAGTCTTTGTGTTTCCCTTCTTTGAGTTGTGCTAGTGGAGGGTTGTCAGATGCTTGTGTTATTATGGGTGTTGTTGGTTTCCTTGGTTTGTGAGTTTCCTTCTAGTATTTTCTTTAAAGCTGGGTTTGTGTCAACGTATTGTCTAAATCTGTTTTTGTCCTGGAATATCTTGTTTTCTCCATCGATGGTGAATGTAAGCTTTTCTGGATATAGTAGTCTGGGCTTGCATCTATGGTCTCTTAGTGTCTGAAGTACATCTATCCACGACCTTCTGGCTTTCATGGTTTCCATTGAGAAATCAGGTGTAATTCTGATAGGCTTCCCTTTATATGTTACTTGACCTTTTTCCCTTGCAGCTCTTAATATTTGTTCTTTATTCTGTATGTTTTGTGTTTTGATTTTTATATGACGAGGGGATGCTTTTATTTTGATCCAGTCTACTTGGTGTTCTGTATGCTTCTTGTACCTTCATAGGAATATCTTTCTTTAGGTTGGGAAAGTTTTCTTCTATACTTTTGTTAAATATTTTTTGGGCCTTTGAGATGTAACTCTTCTCCTTCTTCTACCCCTATTATTCTTAGGTTTGGTTTTTTCACGGTGTCCCAGATTTCCTGGATATTTTGAGTTAAGAAATTGGTGGATTTGTTTTGTTCTTTAACCAGTGAGTTTATTTCTCTGTATTATCTTCAGTGTCTAAGATTCTTTCTTCTATCTCTTGTATGCTGTTGGTAATACTTGTCTCTGTAGTTCCCGTTCATTTACTGAGATGGATTTTCCATATCCAGCCTTCCCTCGGTTTGTGTTTTCTTCATTACCTCCATTTCACTTTTCAAGTCTTGAACTGTTTCCCTTACCTGTTTTTCTTGTTTTTCTATGGTATCTTTGAGAGATTTATTCATTTCCTCTACCTTTTTGTTTGTCATCTCTATTTCTTTATGGCAATTTTTCACCTCCTGTTTAAGGTTCTCTAATATTTTCACAATGTTCCGTTTAAAGTCGATTTCTTCTATTTCTTCTGGAGTTGGGTATTCAATTCTTCTTGTTTTGTGATCCCTGGTTTCTGGTGGTGTCATGTTGCCTTTCAGGTTGTTGGAGGAATTCTTGCACTGGTGCCTGCCTGTCTCTTCCTTCAAATGGTGCCAGGAGATTCTTGATGTCTTGGTCCAGTCTGCTGTGACTGACTCTCTGGGTGCATCTTCTCAGTTCAGGAGCAGGAACTGTTTCTGTCTGGATGGAAGTCCTCAGCACAGACACAGGGTCTCCTGGTAGTCTAAGGACACTGCAGACAAAAGGGAAAATGTGGGGGCAGGGCAGTGTTGAGTGTAACACAGAAGACCCTGCAGCAGAAGTTGAAGGTGCCCTGCACTCCCTTGCTGGGACCTTCCGGCCTGCCTGGCCTGCATACTCTCACCCTTTGGGTGAATAACCTTAGTGCAGAAGCAGGAACTGTTCCTGGGTCAAGGCAGGCTTGGAGAAAGCAGGGTCATGTGTAACAAAGAAGCCACTGCAGGAGGAGCATGGGTAAGGGGGCTGTGCTCTTTTCTGGGACAGTCTGCCCCAGGATAACACACACTCACATGTCTGGATGAAACTCCTCAGCACTGGAACAGGGATACCTGGTATTTCAAGGACACCTCAGGCACAAGGGCCGACATGGGGGCAGGGCAGTGTCAAGTGGAACACAGAAGCCCTGCAGCAGGAGCTGGGGTATGGGGGCTGTGCTGTCTTCTGGAACAGTCTGCCCAGTTATAGAACACACTCACCCATCTGGATGAAACTCCTCAGCACTGAAATAGGGAT